GAGGCCACCATCGCTTCTAGGTTAGAGGCCATCGCTATTAAGTTGGAGGCCATCGCTTCTAGGTTAGAGGCCATCGCTATTAGGTTGGAGGGGTTATCGCTTCTAGGTCAGAGGCCATCGCTTCTAGGTTTATATAATTCCTTTAATGCACCTTCACCTTGGCGAGCTCGACTCCTTCTCCACTCCTTCAGGCTCATCTCGCCTGAGCATCTTCCCAGGTGAATGGTCTGGAGGCCAGCCTAGCGGAGCAGTTTTTTGAGGACAGGCAAGCTAAACGAGTCGAACTTCCTACTCTACGCAGGCTGGCATACCCTGGTACCAAGGCATTTCTCTACGAAAGTTCCAACTGTCTACACCTCAATTTCCAAGAAAACACAAACCGGATCAACCATCTTCGCTGCCCCAGCCAGACCGGGCGGGACTGTGCACCCACTTTTGTCTCCGACAGCCCAACGGCCGCGTCAAATGCCAAGCACGTCAAAAAGGACAGCATTTGCTGAAACCTTGAGAGGTGCATCGCGGCCGGACTTCTACTCAAGTCGGATCCATGTTGAGGAAGGATAACCCATACACTTGTTGTATTATTGATACAATCTTCTTGAAATCTGTTTTAAAGCTCGAGCCAATATCAATTCGCCAACGCCACTCTGAACAGCATCACATGGGACACAATTGTTCCTTCTCCTAAACGCAAAGAAGTGGCAGCTGATTGAAGATCTCTCTCATTTTTTGCAACCAAGACGCTGTGCAAAGTGGCTACCTTAGGCTGCAAAGCCAAGTGCATGTGGTGGACTGTGCTCCATGGACAAAGGGAATGCTATACCAATCCTTGCGGGGCATACTTTTGCAATGGCACAAAAAGACATCTACAGCCTTGACTGCCGCAACATGCTGTCACTTTCAGGAGCCACCAAGCTTCCACCATACTTATATAGGGCTCTAAGCAACAGTGATGGGAGGCTATGTCACCCGCCTTGAGAAGCTTGAATTCCAAGGGACCCTCTTTTTCAGCACAAAGCCGGTGTTCTGATGCTTTGGAGGATGCTGGGGCGATCCAACACCAGTGTACCAGGATGTTCCGACTAAGATAGTGTTGGAGATATCCCAAGTCATGGACTAAACCGGACTTCCCACTGAGGCATGTCCCGCCTGTGGAGAAAGGGCAGGTCGAGAGCAGAGGGACATTCAGAGAGTTCGCCTAAGATCATCCGGGAACATCCTCGGACCCTTGGACCACTTTACCTCAAGCCCTCAGTTGGGATGTGTGCCATAAGTTTTCTGGCCATACTTTAATGCTAACTAGTGCTACAAATCTCAAGGGTCCAAGGATCTTCGCCTGTGATCACTAATTTAATAAAACCTTGGTCATACCATGTTGCCATCCTCTATTGGCTAAGAGAACCCTTGAAGAGGAGGCACCAGGCACTTCAAGCTATGCTGAACCCTTTTGTGGTGTTGGACTTTTCAATACAAAGCTGCTTTCTATTGAATAATATTAGGAACTGACGCAGAACTGGATGTGCTCGGGATGTGAATCAAGCCCAAAGAGCGTATGGGATGAGCCCTCATCAAGTGAATATGTTTGAATCCTTTGCCCACCTCTATTCAGATCCCAATAGCTACACTGCTCTCAGATGTTCGACAATCCCTAGTTTTGAGCGAAAAAAAGTTGTGAAATCTCTGGACACAACAAGTATCAGCAAATCGTCCCACGCAATTCATCCAATAAAAATCTAGTATCTCTATACTGGTGGAACAGCACTTTTGTCAAGGCTCAAGACTTCATGAGCAAGCTATATGCAGCGCAGTCCGGGGCCACTTGCCCCGCCAGCATCAAGTGCCTGGGCACGGTTTCGCTGGTTCTCAAGCGCTCCCTTCATCCAGACCACCCTCCGGATCCCCTCTAAGTGCCTTGCCAGGGGGGTCACAGTGATAGAGATCTCTGAAACCACCACCGGACCACCGGCTCCCGCAAAAGGAGGGGGGTTGAAAGCAACTTGAAATGTTGGACGAACACGTCCACATTCTCTGGTGAAACACTGGGAGACGTTCTGATGCGTACCTGCTGTAATCACCAACTAAAACAAGACCACCAGCCTTTGCATCTGTTATGCACGCTCCTAGTAGCTTCTTGTTCCTAGTAGTACGGCCAGGAGCCCCTAGTAGCGTCCTTGCTCCTAGTAGTAAGGCCAGGAGCCCCTAGTAGCGTCCTGGCTACTGCTGAAACTCTAGAGATAGCTAGACCGCACAGGCAACTCTTCCTGTGAGGCTTATGCTAGGCAATTAGCGACCTTCGATCGAACTCTTATCTCGAGTGTGTGTGTGTGTGCCCGTCTGTGTCGCAACCCGTCTTCTGGGAATCCTTTAATCTAACTTTCGGAACTGCTGCATCTCTTAGTGCATTTGCAAATGGCCTGATCCAACCGAGCTCCGGCCATGTGTCAGGATGACACCAAAGGATGCTTTGATCCACGTATCTCCTGGTTTATGGAGGCGGCCTTCGGCATTTCGTTTAACTAGACCGTAGAGGTTTAGCGCATTTTGGAGGACCACTGCAGCTGCAACATAGGGCGCAAACCTGTAAGAGCACCTCTGAAGTTTCTCAGTCGGAAGCACGCCGCTGGACTTATTTTTCCCACCCGTACCCCGCAGTGACATCAGTCATATGCATGCAGGGCGCTGGCATAGCCAAAAGAAACCGTTGCATATTTAAATATCAGAAAGTTCGAGTGAAGGCTGCTTTTATATTTGTGAATCTTCAGCAACAGTTTTATATACTCGTGAATCTTCACCGCCGGACTTATACGAGTTCCATTCGATGCCCTCCTCTCATCGCAGCTGGCAACCACTGCCCTCCCGCTCTGTCCTTCCTACAGTGCACTGATTTGGCTCAATGTGTATGTATACGTGTGCGTGTGCGTGTGCGTGTGCGCATAGATGCATCGGTGAACCAGTTTGATGCATCGGTGAACCAGTTTCTGATTCAATGCTCATTCAGTTGAGCAAGCAATCTAAATGTTTGTGTGTGTCACAACCGGTCGCCCAAGAATCTGTTAATCTAATTTTCCGACTTGCTGCAACTCCTAGTGCACTTGCAGGGGAATCAGGGACCTTTGGTTTGGCCTGATCCAACGAAGCTCCAGCCATGTCAGGATATGATCAAAAGACGCTTCGATCACCATTTGCTAAAGGTTCCGATGTGGGCTTCGGCATTTCATTGTCTCCTCGAACACGACTGTGAAGGTCTATATCATGCACTTCGGAAGACCACTTTAGCTGCATCATATACGTGCTAATGGGCTTAAAACCGCGCGTGTAGTGAAACTGATTTTTCATACAATCCTTTGGGGGGGCCAGGGGGGTGAGGGGTAAGGTGCCCCAAGAGTGGTTACTGGACCTGATCGAATACACCAAGTAAGGCCACAATGACAAGTGAGTGTGCGAGCGGCAGCGATGCACACCTTTTCTATGGCACGGAGTGCAGTATTGGGCTTCAAATGTCCTGAGCCAATGAACTACAGCGGAAGCTGACTGAAGAGATATATACAAGATCTATCACACCTATAGCGTAGACACGCCTAGGGAGACCTAGGACCCTACAGACACAAAACAGACACAAATTTTCTTCGCGTCGAAGCTTACAATCACTCGAATACTGGACCGACTTCCTATAACGAGAAGTTACACTGAAAGGGATGATGATAACCCTCGTCGCTTGACTTGAGACAAAAGTCCAAGTGATTGAGGTGCTTCAAAGACTCGTTAGTTTTTATGGTCGTTTCTTTCTGTTGGGGCGGTCCTTCGTATCCGACTCTGCCATGGTCTTCCGTAATGTCGGATGACCTTTTCCACAACGCGCGCACGTCCTTGCCGTAATTGACGGCGATCTGCGATAAGCAGTCGCAGTCGGCATCCTGACCTTCCAGGGCGGCGAGCTGTTCAGTCGCGAGGGTTGAGACCCCCCAATTGTATGTGATCCGCTTGCTTGGCTCGCGCCTTTTGTTTGCTGAAACGAGAATCTGGTCTAGGATGGTAAGGGCAGCGCCGGTTGCCGGATCGGAATGTCGATCGGACCGGAAGTTGCGATTCGTGAACATGTTCGCATCGCACGCGATGACGTCCACCTGATCCGCCACAGCCGTGATTAAGATCTTTGTCAAGGCGTTCTTGCCTGCCGTAATTGCCCTTGCCGCCTTTTCCTCTGCTCTGGCCTCCGCCGGAATGTCGGCCTTCGGCACCACGGGATGCATCTCTCTCTCTCTCTCTAATTCTTCCATGTGCGTGACAACCACAAGGTTGCCATGGCTCACTGTTTGTACACGAAAACCGGCAATGTCCATAGGCGGTTCTCAAACTCCTTCACGTCGGATAGTCTGAATGGAAGGCATCCGCGTCCGTGACGGCGAACGCTTTCCTCTTCCCTTGCCTTTCTGCTGATTTCGACCGGAACGTCGGTCGTCTCGAGGTTCTGACTCTGGTGAGCGAGTCACACGGTCAACATATCGTCGTCCGGCCTCTGCAAATGTTGAGTCATCCATTGGCGGAGACTCACTCTGACGCTCTTGGCTTACACTACGCCTCGACCGTAATGCCGGTCGGGCTGGCAATTGGCTCGGTGATCGAGGTCGCGATTTGGCGCGGGGCGCCTCCGAAGCAGATGCTTCATCCGCAGCTGGCACAGCTGGAACCTTGCGACCCATGATCACAGCGATATATGCTCAAGCTAGTCTTCGTCCGTAGTAGTCGCGCCTGCGCCAAAAATGCAGTCGCAGACACAAATTTTCTTGAGACAAAAATTTGCAAGAAGAGAAAATCATGTTGCATATATGAGCGAATACACACAGTCTGATATGTCTTCATCAAAGAAGGTGAGAACAAACTGTGGATCCGGCAGGTCTTTAATGACCCACTCAGTTACAAATGCCTTGTGTTTCACGAGTGTACGGAAAGGTGGGTGTTTGTCAACCTGTCGGAGTGTTCCTGTCTCTATGCTTCTTACCAGTTCATCTGGTTTAGCAGTGTGTTTGGTTAAAGGATCAGCGAAACAGAATTCGCTCGCAACGTGACTCAGGTCGTCTATGTTGCCAGTGTTGCTCTCGTGTCTGAGCGTCTGGATAAGCGTTTCCTTGAAGTACGTAACGCCGTTTCTTTCATGACGGAGCTGCTCATTGTCGAGCATTTTCTTGTAATACTCTGCGTTTCCGGTCAATGCATTCTTGAGCGAAGGACCCAGCTTCTCTGCGGGTAGGGTAGTTCTGTTTACCCAGTCATCTATCAAATCTTCAAACTCGAACCAAGATGACTGTCCATCGAAGGACGGGGGAATCTTTAGCGTCATTCTGACACCATGTGCTGGTTGCGTCTCATAAGTCCGGAATGTCGAACCTGAGGATCTCGACTGCTGGGAACGGTATCTCGAACCTTGCGCAGCGAATGCTTCCTCTGGATCTGACTCTTCCGGTTGACTATACTCTTGTTCTTCGTCCGTATCTATGTTAAAGATCTGGACCATGGTCTCTACTCTTCAGACAGGTGGTCTACTTGGCTGTCTCCTGTCCGTAATGGCGGACGGTTCTGCACGAATGCAAAATCGACCGTGGCGAAGCAGGAGACACAAGCTCCGCTACCACTTTGAGGGGTAAGTTCCCCCAAGAGTGGCAGTAGAGTTACTGGACCTGATCGAATACACCAAGTAAGGCCACAATGACAAGTGAGTGTGCGAGCGGCAGCGATGCACACCTTTTCTATGGCACGGAGTGCAGTATTGGGCTTCAAATGTCTTGAGCCAAATGAATTACAGCGGAAGCTGACTGAAGAGATATATATATATATACCAGATCTATCTACGAAGAACAGGGTGCTACACACGTATAGCGTAGACACGCCTAGGGGGACCTAGAACCCTACAGACACAGGGGGGTAGGGGGGGGGGGGGGTTGGGTGGGGGGCTAGTGATGTTCATGTTGTGTGCATTTTTTTTAGGAAGCCACACACGCACACGCTGTGGAAGAGGGGGTGGGGGGGGGTTAGGGACAGGGGGGGGGGCTAAAGACGTTGCATGTTGTGTAAAGAAAAGGTTGAAGTCAGGAGTGCCATTGATGGTATGTGGCGTTTGTGTAAGGAGTCGGTCCCCACTAGCTTGCGTTCACGTGAAGGTGACGGTACAAACCCAAACATCATGAAGTTCATTCGACAGTGGCAATGGCGCTGGCACCAGAATAAAGACGTTCTGACGAAGCTGGGTCAGAAGTTGTCCCACAGACTGATGATGATGCTGGAGGATGAAAAAGCGCACCTTTTTTCGCACGAAACCACAGTCTCGTAGCATTTCGATGTCAAAATCACAACGATTTTGAGTTGTTTTCATGTACTGCATGCTGCAACAAACCTTTCACATCAATGCAAAACACAGTGACACACCGGACATTCGTACCACGTGAAGATTTGACAAATGTCTTCAACCGCACGCGCGGAAACGAGCCCGGCGGGATATACGTCTTAAGTGCATACATATTCAATCATATTCATACGTGTACATGAACCTGTGGATTCTTCTAACAACAAATTAAATACAAGAATGCAATAACTAAAACCCTTTTTTGGAGCCTTGCTTCACTGAGAAGCAACTCCTTTCCAGTAAGACAAATAATATGTAATCTTCTTGTTCAAGTTGCACAAGCCGCAAGGACAGCTTCCAAGGGACTTGGCACTGATCCATGGCGCTCAAAACCTCACTTTGGAGCAATATTCGGCGACAAAGAAGTCTTTTATATAATGAGCATGTTATTCTCGGCGTTCATACCCATTCTGGAATCATTATGAACTGGCCGGTAGGTTGGCAGCAACCATGTCATGCATGCCATTCGCTTGCAATTCCCCACACATGGCAGACCCAAACAGGCGCTCCCTGATTCACAGCCATCGAAGATACCTCCTCAAAACTCCAGGCAAGGAATCAAAAGTTCAAGTGCCCTAAACATATTCTCACTTGAGGCTGTGTCAACTTGGCTCAACAATCGTCCCACTTGGAAAATGCTTCCGAGAGCACCGTGTTAAAGCTGATGATCGAAGGCTCTAGCCTGATAGGAAGCTCATGGAACGCCGTGTTCTATGGCCGAATCGAACTGGAGAGAAACACACAGCCGTGGCATTGGCTAAGGAACAGGTCCGATATTGGGAAATAATGTGGTTCCTTTTGTCATATTTTTTCAAGAGTCTGAAAGACCCGCTATCCGAGTTCAGTAGAAACAACATGAGACAACCATCTCAACGTACAGGTCACCTATAATATACTGAAGGGCAGCCCCTGAAGCATCAACCCACCCACATGAAAATAGCTGTCAACTCAACTGGGAAACGTTCATGACTAGTCAACTGACACGAATCGAAGTGCAGAACAGAGTCCCAGGGCACCCCTCTCAGTTCATGGTGTTGACAAACTCATTTTTTACCAATCAAGTAACGGGTTCTTTACCCTCAGAGACTCAGAGCTTTTGAACCCCTTAAAATCTCCGGAGACCTGCCCTTTCCGCCGCCTCTGGCCCAGCATCGAAACCAGCAAAGACAGTGTCAGTTCCCAGCGCCGAGTCTTTGCACAAGCGCCAAGGACCTCAAATGAAACAATGCCACACTGTCAAGGCTTCTGTCTCAGAGAAAGTAGAGACCTTAAGTCTTGGTGCCAAGTTAAGATTCCCTAAAAATCTAGAAACCAAATCATTGGTGCGAGCTATCCTGAAGAAGCGTTACTAGATTACTGGAAGCTTCCTAGTATATAGTAGCAAACTACTCCCCTAATAGGTGTCCACTTAATTAAGTATGGGCAGGCTATAAAAAATGGATGAGCTTGCTCTACTGCAGCTGAGCAGCCATGGTCCACGACATCACATCTGGCTCCAAATGCCATTGGAGTCCTTGACGCAGAAGAGCCAAGGCCATCTCCCACTGCCTGCAACGTGACTGGAGTCGTCTGCAGTGCTTTCTAGCCTCAAGCTTTCCTAACCAGTGATAGGAGTGCGCTCCTTCCGCTGCTGAATCCCTAGGCTAGACGTTGACTCATGTCCCTTCCCATTGTATCATAACTATGCGGCAAAATAGTTTGCTTGCAAATAAGCAATCCTTTGTACAAATATGTGCCACAACAAAAAGGCACCATGTCACCCATGTCGCCGGTCCGGATGTCCTCCTCACATGTCGACTTGTGTAAGTTCGGTATATCAATGTTCTGCAAGAATAGTGTTCTACTTAGATGATCTCTTCGTATCTCTTTGTTTCGTGCATCGCAGGCGCCTGGCCATCTCGCAATTTTGGAAACTGGCGTTCAATGCAATGACCTGAGAAGAGCAAAGGGCAACATCTCATGGCTCTGCCCTGAAAAGGTACTTGGGATCAAACCACCCATGTCAAAATTCACCAAAAGCGATCCAGAGAAAAAGAGTGTGTTGCAAGTCTCATCTCCTTCCCCGACAGTTTGGTGCAGCTACCAGCAGCGCACAGGCTTTATTCTGATTGGCGGAAGCACCTGGGGTCCCCTGCATCTGGCGCACAGGCTGATTCCAACATCATCTGCAGCAAAAAAATGCCACGCTGCCATTCGAGGTTGCATTCGCAAGCGCTAATGGCAGCACCTGATAGTAGCAAAGCTGGAAGTGCCGACAACGCAATCATACCATGATCGCCACGGTATGAAATATGAGCTTTCTTGGGTCTAGCTCACACCCATGCTGGCCCATGCTCAAGTTATAGACGAAACATGCGCGGAGATCATCAACAAGTTGAGGACTTTCAGTGGCTTCCCTTGGAGGGTGCATCAAAGTGGGAAAGTCTATGCACCGATGCTCTTGCAGCACTCTAAGTACAAAGTTGCAGCCTCTCATGGGCCACCATGGTCTTGATCCAAGAAGCTGAATGAAATAACACTGCGACGAAGCTGTCCTCGGCAGAAACCAGCAGAGCTAACCGGCCCGCACAAAACCCATCTGCACTTGGGTGGTCCCTAGGAATGCGGACATCGAGGAGGAAAAACAGCCGTCTGCAGTTGCCAAAGGTTTGTCATGGGAAGTGCAAGTTCTTCATCGACCTTCCACTGCCGCAGCAATGCCCAGATGAAGTGGGCAGCTTGGGGCCTTCCATGGCCCCAGCCCGAATTGTTTGAATTGTTAACTGCGTGGGTTCCACAACTCGGGACATTGCGTCAGCCCAGTCTCGACTTGCCATACCTTGCAGGAGCCATACAGCTCGTTGCCTAGGTGTAGCAAAATTGCTGCGTCATGCAGCAAAAAGGTGCTTCAGCTTCAAAACCAATCACCCAATAATCAGTATGTCAATGTTCAGGGAAGGCAACAGGGGATATACTGTATATATAACTATATATGTATGTATGCAACTTCAGGATACTTCAGGTCAATTCTCGTTGTGAGACAGCTCTTTGTCTCTCGAAATGAAGGAGCTCCCCAAGACACGAGCCTCTTATCTGTTTCTCAAAAGCATCTGGCTACCTGAACAAGTCTGGTGGTACAGTAGCAGGAAAGAGCGTTGAACAAGTCAACATTCTGGATCCTTGTTTGTCCGAAGCGCCATTCACCCCCTTTGGCACACGCGCTGATGGCACTATTGAAACCTCAGTTCGACGCCCACCAACCACAACTACCATACACTGCCGCATGTCAATCGATATTCAATCGTTAAATGCGGTCACGAAGGGTCAAGGGCAAGCATTGCCCGAAGCCAAAGGTCAGAACTAGCGTACGTGCTGCAAAACTTGGGACAAGCGGCTCACGTCATTTGGCGGCACCTGCCCTGCCTGGCTTCGCAGTGTCTTTTTTGGAGCGGCAAGTGACTGGGAGCGGGCAGGATGCTACATGCCTGCACCTGACAAAATGATTCCTGGGTGGAGGGACTATATAATCTAAATAAGCTCTCAACGCACTGTGGCCCCCGATTCTTCCAGACGCGGTGACGCTTTTCTCAGTTGTTTCAGTTCCATCAATATGCTGCTGAGCAGTTCAATGATCCAACTGGTGCACCGGAGGAGACTGGGTTGCACAGCCTTCTGAGAAAAGCTCCCTTTTCGTCCCTTCCAGCCTCCATGGATGTTAAGATTTGGAGTGCTTCAACCCAAAGCGAAGACCGATCAAAAGCCGCAATGACCTGGGCTCATGGATTCAGATAGTCAGAAAAATGGACAAGGAACTGCCATACCAGTAGTGACAGCAAGAAGAAACCTCTCTCCTGGACAGCCAAAAAGTCCTGGTTTAGGGCACTCTTCTCAGGAAGCGGGGTCACTTCAGAACACAAGTTTTAGTTCACTTTGGAACACAGGGTTTTAGTTCGCTTTGGAACACAAAACATGGGTCACTTTGGAACACAAAACACCCAAAAACATGGAAGGGTTAGCAAAAAGCGAGATCACTTTGGAACACAACGCACCTGATTTTTTGGTTCACTTTAGAACACACACACAGACACAGATGGGGAGGGTTTAAGGATGAAGGATGGGGTGGGGTGGGGTGGGGTGGGGGGGATGGGGGATGGGGTGGGGTGGGTTGCAGTTAGCAACCAAACAGTGCGACTCTGAAGTGCTGAAAGGGTTGCCAGATTGGACAAGGTCAACATCTTCACACACACACACACGTTTTGATGGCCTCCAACCTACTAGCTCTGACACGCGTTCCGAAGCGATACCGTTCCCGCGTTCCGAAGCGAACTATTTTCTGCGTTCCGAAGCGACTCCCTCGCCCTCTTCTGAACCCCCCTCTTGCAATCTCCACGAGAAGCCATCTTCAACTTGGATCAAGAGACAGAACTGTAAGCGATCACATCCTGAGTGTCCAATCTCGCTTGATAACTTCAATGTCATGACTGACAAATAAGAACGTGCTGGGACAGGTTTCAATCCACCTGGAACACCTCCGAGAAAGCCTCCCATCTCAAATGCCTAGTACTAGCTCCAAAATCAGCATCCATAAGTATGATCTGTCTCAGGCGAGTGTCCGGTTCTACAGATCTCTCCAAAAGCCCTAAGGCCCACATCCAGATGCCAGCCTCAGCTCAGACATGAAATCTGCCTTTCCAGGTCCTCAAGTAGATTCCAACTTTCCAAGTCCAGCCCTTTCTTGGAATGGCTTCGCTTCCCCAAAACCTCTAAGAACCTGTACCTCTCAACGGCGAATCCAAGCGGTTCTTTTGGAGAACAAAAAATGTCGTCTTTGCGTCTTGTGCCAAGCATTCAAGACTAAGAACGGTGATCGTGAGTTGCAAAGAACGGTGATCGTCATTGCGAGCACCAATCCGCCATTGTCAGGGGTTGTTCGGGAAGCGTTGAGCCCCGAACGACCCGCAAAACAGCCAATGCGATCAAATACGAACAAAGCGAAAGTGACCTGCACCACACGATTGGGGCCCCGGACCCAAAAGGAGGCAGGAAAGGGCCAAGCAAATATCAAGCCACCCAAGCGAAGGTTGAGAGATGGGCTGCACTGCTGGCAGCACATCGGACAACACACCAGAACAAGGCAGCACAAAAAGGCCCTCGAAGCAAAAAGGTGCTTTCGCCAGTGCCCTTGGAAAATCAACAAGCAATCGAGTTCCAAAGCCTGGACACCAACACATGGCGTACAACCCTGGATCCCCGATGCTTTGCTGACTCACCTTCGGGCGACGTGGTCTGGGATTGCAGATTCACCTGCTCCATTGAATGGACAGGGCGTGCTGCAACCCAAAACACCCATGATAGCTCCTTGGCACGCATGCACTATAAAAATTTGTGCATGTCAAGGACACATTCTGTCAAGTCCCCCCCTTGGAAAACTGTCGCTCAGCATGCTCAGCGTTGCCTGGAAGCACGGGCCGCTCGGCATCGCTGCCAGCCAGCAGTCACTCAGACTTACAAAATGAATACTTGCGCGACTCTGCTAGCAGCCAGTTCTCTGACAATGTCAGCCTTACAGCGCTCCATGATCAGATCGTGGGACTCTTGGGGGCCTCTGTTTGACTGGATCTCCGAAGCTGTCTGGATTTGAGTCGAGTCCACACCGACCAGCCATTCCCAGCGAACCCAGGGATCTGCGACCCGGCGCACGAGATCCGGACTTGCCGAGATCAAAGCCATGGCGCTGTAGGAAATCTTGGAGCTGATTGTCGTGCAAGAGCTTGGGCAGATCCCACATCCTCCTCTTGCTTCCCTCCTGCGAGGCGCAGGCGTCCAAATCCTGAGATGTCCCGAGCATAAACGAATCCTGGAAAGTGGAGTCTTCCACCGGGCCAAGCCCATCAGGATCACCGGGACAGTCTTGACCATCGCTTCGATCGCCCCATAAGGGCATCTCTGGGTCATCAAATACTTCAGGTTGCATGGTGCATCTGAGATTTCCGAGGTCCATGCTGGAGTGCTATGGCTCTGCTAGCTGCGTCTCCAGCTCAGTGAAACGCTTGAACCAAGGGGCCTCATGGAAGCTGTTGAAGCTTGGGACATGTTGAAGCACAATCACTACCCAGTGTGGGAGGGGTTCACTCACGCCCCAGCATCCTTTACCACTTCCTCTTGAGGTATGCGTGTCTGCCTAAACAGTCAGAAGTAATTAACATTATATAAAAGCGTTTCGACGTTCCTGCTATTTCCCGCATAGGCCGCGGATCCTCAGCGAGGATTTATATAATTTATATATATATATTATACATATACAGACCCATGATGCTTGTCCTAGTTGCTTGTGCTTTGCCCCGAAATCCAAAACATCCAACGGAGCGTGAAAAGCCAACGACTCGGCAAGGCAACGAATTGCCACACGTTTTACCAACGAATCTCCAAGGCACCTTTTCGCAGGCAGAGATGGCCGCACTGATGGTCACCACGTCTGGGGAAACCTTGGAGCCTTCGGCCTCGAGCCGATGCGAACAGGGAGACAGACCGAGGTGGGCTGGGCCTTGGCGACCTTGGCTGAGCTCGAAAAGCTTCTGGTTACTAGTAGTAAGAATGTTCCTAGTAGTAAGGCAAGGAGCCCCTAGTAGCTTCTTGTTTCTAGTAGCTTCTTGTTACTAGTAGAAAGGCCAGGAGCCCCTAGTAGCGTGCTTGCTCCTAGTAGCGATGCCCTTTGCTCCTAGTAGCGTCCTCTACCTTTCGTGGCTTTGGAAAGGTGATGGATCTGAGCCTCAGAAAATGTCATGCGTCCACAACTGTAGCCCGTAGCTGTGCCTGTAGTTGTTTTCCTTACACGTTACACCTTGCCCGAGCCCAGGTTTTCAGCTGATGATAGCATGCCAAATACAGCTGTGCAGCTCTATGGTAAGCCTGGTGTTTCCTACAAGATGCCACGAAGCATAATGAGAAGACTCATGAATGCTGTGCCACATGACCCTCCATGAGCCTCAATAGTCTCCAATAGTCTCAGTGCCACCAGCCATTCGCTGGCTTGTTCACAGGCCTCATACACTTGCGACTGCAAGATTCATCGAAAAGCCAGTTTTGTTCAGGGAGCGTTCAATTCTAGGAAACCGTGACCATCAGGCTATCACAGGACTACAGGCATAACAATTTAGTGGATGCTACAGCTCAATGCGCAAAACCGCAACCACCACTCGCCAATACCTCTGAACGATCTTCAAGAGTGCGAAGTGGATCCGCCCATCCTCCCTCTCACTTTACAAACCAGGTAGCAGGTACCACGTTGGATATCTGCTGGGTCTCCAAACATTCCATGTATAGAAACCCCTAGCACTGCTAGTGGCAGCTGTGCCAACAGCGAGTTCAGCAGCATGGCAAGAAAAAGAAAATGCTCAGTGTTGATTGGCATTTGGCATCGTTTTGGAGAAATGCTGAGGGCATGATTGAAGAAAGTCCGTGCTTCCATCTCATCCCTTCATGGTTCCCAGAACCAAATCTCAAACGCATCTAAGCCGCATTGATGACACCTGGCCAAGTGTCGCGTGGGAGCTGGAATGCATTGAGATTGTGGGATGGTCTTTCCAGGAACCGAAAACTATGTCGCGTGTCCCATTTGGAGGGGTTGACACAGTTGGGACCATGACCGTCCTTGCAAAGAAGCTGGCTGCTGGCGGGAAGGTCATGCCAAGAAGCTGTTGAAGCTGATGATGTCGCTGAAGTCGCCCAGGACCATCTCATCCAACAGCACAAGCGCTTTCGTCCACTCGCCTGGAAGTGGCAGCAGTTTGTCTATACGTGCCGCATGTCGACCCGGCAAGTGGCACTAGGCACTTGTGGAGCAGCTGTTGCAAAGGTTGAAACAACATGAATCGAAAGCTTTTGAGGGAGTAGCTACTGAATGGAACTTGCCGTTAGGTTGGAGGCCATCACGATTGGGTTGCCAAATAAAGACTTGGTGGACGTAATGTTTGGGCAAGTCAGGCGTGCAAGACCGTGTTACGTCCTGTTTTGGTGACTGGGGCGACTACTGGTGCCACAACAAGTAAAGCCCAATGCAGTTCGTTTCCTGTGGTCTGCACACCACAAAGGTTTGCACTTCGTTTAGCCTCACGCTTGGAACCAAGCCTGCTCGATCACATGCTCGGATAGCTGCATTGTGACCTGATAGACAAGCGACAAGGATCGTCAACAATGCAAGGTGTCCAGCATGTGCTTGAGTGGCCAGCCCCCCCGAGGGCAATGCACTCGAATAATCAACCGTTATATCGATCAAACCTAATAGCTTCTTGCTACTAGTAGCTTCTTGTTTCTAGTAGTAAGGCCAGGAGCCCCTAGTAGCGTCCTTGCTCCTAGTAGCGATGCCGGGAGCCCCTAGTAGCTTCTTAATAGACCATGGGTTTCATACGATCTGACGAAATTTGCTCGCAACATGCTTCCAAGATTCTGGGCGCTGTACTCTCCAAGGATTGCTGCGACCTCATGCTGTGCCAAATGTATTGTCAAATCCATCAAGCACTTCGCTAGAAAAGAACATGAGTATATCTGGCAAATCCCATCAACAGCTTCGACCAAAGGAGACCTGATGGAGAAACAACCCACCCAAGTGTCGATCGTGACTGAGTAAAGGTTTCTGTGTGCCTCCATCTTAATCTGTATCAAGGCACATCTCTTCAAGCAAGCACAGGGCTTCCCGCCAATCCACTGTCGCCTAGAGGCTGTGAATCGGCCCACGAGCACTGTTTCAAGGATCAGTGAAATACAGGCAGCCATCTCTAGCAGAGTCACATGTTGCGGTGTCATCAAGCAGCTACAACAACTACACTAGAATGTGGCTTCTCTTTACTTTTCTGGCCCCTATATAAACTAGAAGAAACCAGGAATCTCACAATAAAGAAGCCTTATACATTATATATAACTATAGAATTAAAGACGTCCAAGTGTCTACTGTTCATCACTCAGACCTTGGGCAAGGTCAACCACCAAGCACATTGGAAAATTCAACCTTGTTGAACATCAAGGTCTCCGCGCCATAATTGCAGCACTGAAGGTTACCGCGTCAGGTGGGAAGGGCAGCTGCTTCCTAAGGCAAACATGGACCAAGGTCCCGGATATGGCCTTCAAGGAAGCCACTGCTAAAGCTCAGTTCTTGGACGCTAAACAGGGCTCCTCCGGGCTATGCATTAAACTTAGAGGTCTGAATCATATGATATGCATTCCCTGGATTTGCCTGGTGTCCCCAAGGCAGGATGGCCAACCTGTGAAAAGTGCCCTGCACCCGCCAACGGGGTGAGGTCACTCTCTAAAGATGAACCATGTTGAACCTGTCCGGCTCCATGCAACAAATGCCGGACTACAAAGAAAGTCTTTAACCACTTGCATCGTGAGGGCGAGGAAATGGTCTGCTCTTCAAGCGGCAAGAGCGCGGCAGCGTGCTGGGGATGATCGCCTCAGCTGGAGCGAAGTCCGAATTCTCAGAGAATGGAGGCCAAATTTTGGTGGGAGAATACTTGCAAATATAATTTGGAAGTCTGCCTCCGCAAGAGTCATGTTCTTTTTTTATGTAGAGAGTGAACAGAACAAACACAAGGTCCCTCGGAACCTGGACAAACTTTCGGACAGAAGGTGGCAAATGGCTGTTGGACACCGCTTTGGTGCAAATAGGGCAACTCCCAAGTCATCGCACATTGAAATTATATATTTGGTTCAAGGCAAACACATGGGAATGTTGAGATAGTTAACCGGCGTTCATAACTCAGACCTTTTGCACAACGGTCAAGTAGGTCGCTCTTGTCTACCACTCCTGAAGAACAACTCTAGTGCGACCGTCTTGTACTGTAATGACTCTTATATAGATGCGCACCAGCAGCGAAAATGCAGATCTTACCAGCGAAGAATGCACCTCTTCACCATACTCCCATACTGGTCGAAGGCCAAGGAGGGTGGAAAACTTCACCCGCAAGGGAAGTGCACTACTTCATCAGCTGCGAAAACATACAAAGCCACACACACGTGTAGCACCCACAAAGCACTGTGCTTGCCTCCAAGCACATCCAACACGCACAAGGCTAAGCACTGCACGTGCCAGGAAAAACTCCACAACTTCATGGGCTGAGGCTGAATATAGCACTTTGTTGTGCCACACTACACTAAATATAACTGTTTGGCATGATTCCTGCCCTTTCCAGCCTCACAGGCAGCAAGAATTGCAATGCTTTTAGAAAACACGGATTCTTCGAAGCAAAACCCACAGCACTGACGCATCGCTGCACCTGCATGGAGTAATAAATCTAGTTTGTGGGACACACAATCAAACATCTGTTTCCAGGGTCATTCAATGTATCTCAGATGAATCAAATACCTCTTCCATCCATGCACAACCTCTTCCAATTCACTCAATGGCAGGAGAATTGAGACCAAGCGAACGGTTGCGGGCGTTCTCGGAACACGTTGCATACTTCCAGCAGATGCAAATAATTAACCCCGCACCCAAACATGCAACTTCATAAACGAGAACCCTTTGATGAGGATACACGTTCTGGAAGCAGCTGGATAGCTTCTAGGCCGGCAGTTAATCCCTTCTACTCAGTCTCAGTCACGGCAACTGGTCAAAGCCAAATTGAAGCTCACAAGATCCTGATGCGGCTCCGACATGGCTGTCAGAAGAAGGTATAAGTACTTGAGAAGGAAGAGAGTTCATGCTGGGTGAAATATTCTGAAGAACATAGCAACATTCGTTCACGCTTCATGGAAATCTAAAGGGGGAACTCTGTCCATGCAGTACATATTGCATTTTTCAGGAGGATCATTGCTCAAGCAACCAGTCCTTCTGTTTACTGGAAGAGAGGCTTGAAGACACTGAAAACACTACTTCTTTGCCGCAGAGTATGAGGCACCAGCTGGCAAAGATTCTCTTCCCGGCTGGTCCTTTGAGTAGGATCTCCAGTAAGGGAAAACATCTCCACCAGCCTGTATGGCCGGCCATGCCGCATCAAAGGCTGCAAGAACTGGAGGTGGAAGTGGCACAGGCTTTTTGCAAGCAGACAGGTTTTGTTCCAACTGTGATGTCGATGAAGCACCCAGCAGAATGCCATCACCCTTTGCAGCACTTAGAGCGGAATGCTGCAACAGCCATGCATAGGTGGCATCAACCATGGATAGGTTGGCTTCCTCGCAAGCTGATCTAATGCCAGACAGGGCATCGAAGTTTGGCTTTGTGTAGAAGCGTGGCAAGTAATTTGGATTGTCCTTGAAGCGACCAGGTAGAACATGGTCACTCCCCAAGTGCTTTCCCGTCAGTAAGCCTGCTGCTAGCGGGTTATATGCAACGAAGGACACTCCAAAGTGGCGAAGTACGGGCAGCAGTTCCTCTTCCACAAGTCGATTCAATGGATTGTAAAGGCCTTGGTAAACTGAAGGCATGGACCATCCACGGTCTTTGCAGAGAGTGCAGCAACGATCAACCTCAATGGCACTGTAGTTGCTCATGCCGTATCTTCCAACAAGACCTTCTTTCATTAGCTGCTGTATGCACTGTAGCGATTCAAGCAGATTGTGCTCTGGGTCTGGCTGATGCAAGTATAAAACCTCAACGCGGGACACGTTCATTGCCTTCAAAGATGCTTCTACTTGTCTCCTGATGCCAGGCTCTGAGAGTCCATCTGGTTGTGACGGATGGACTTTGGTGCCAAGGATCAACGCTTTCTCTGCAGATTCTCCAAGCTTTGGGAGAAGCCGTCCCAGGATCTTCTCAGTCTCACCAGCAGAGTAGATTCTGGCCGTGTCAACTTGCACACCTCCCAAGTCCACAAACTTCTTGAGCATCTCGTAGGCCACTGCATCATCAACTTCGCTGCTTGTCTGCCACCAGCCGAACGTCATTGTACCAAAGAAGACCAGTGAGTTTAGACGCACATTCTCCCGATCTTCCTTCGATCCCTTCGCTTGACGTGTACGGAGCGAACAGTGCCTTTCTCTCGGGGAACTTGGTGGTCTTCGCTCGCGAGTCCACGGAAAACCGAACACTGCGGCAGCCAAGAGCGCTTGGGAAACTGAACCGGAGGTTGCTGAGATCCTGCGTCTTGTGAGTCCTGAACGGAGCCTGTATGGCGCTGTGGAATGAATACCATTTGCTGGTGTATGACTTCCAGACTTTGCAACGATCGTCGCCATGGGTGAGGATCAAGTACTATCAGTTCTGGTGTGGTAGTGAATAAAAATGCAACTGTATGGGTGTCCTTTCTTTCGCTCATTCTCCAGGAGATTTGTCCATTGAGCTTCAACAGCACAAGGCCTTCTTCTGTCTTGGACTATGTCTTTGGGTCTGAAACATGTGGTGGATGCGTTAGGTCTTGGGCCTTCAACATCCACATCCGCCAGAACAGCAGACCTCTAAACAACCCCCAAGAAGAGGCCCTCCTAGAGACTCCACAGTTGATGCAAATGATACGTCCGGGATGGAAAAAGGAGATGAAACCTCCAGGAAGAGCCGGCCATCCCTTTAATGCAGTGGAGACGTTCCCTTGTGAAAATCATATTATTCTTCTTCTTCTCCTTCTCCTTCTCCTTCTCCTCCTTCTTCTTCTTCTTCTTCTCCTTCTCCTTCTCCTTCTCCTTCTCCTTCTCCTTCTCCTTCTTCTTCTTCTTCTTCTTCTTCACTTTATGATGATATGGTTTGTTCTTTTCTCTTGCTTTTATTTTGGTGTATTTGTCCTTTTTTAGACGTTTAGACTTTAGATCAGATCGTTTTGCCTTTTCGAAATCTCTTTAAGACCCCGTTAGTGGCAACCTATTCTCACAAGTCTATGTGCAAAAAGCCACCTCTCTACCGAACCTATTTATCAGGATGCAAAATTCCCTGGTCCTGGCGGACACTTCGGCCCGGCATTCGGTGCAAGAGCTCCAGTGCCAGGTACCAACACTTGACCTGGTCAGGGGCCAAGATCACAGGTCCAACACACCAAAACGCCAAAGGTACAGAAGCCGAAACCCCCTAGTAGCGTCCTTGCTCCTAGTAGTAAGGCCAGGAGCCCCTAGGCCGGGATGCATGTAGAATCGTGTGGCATTGATCTGTAAAGGCATTGAGTGCTCCTTCAAGACAGTGGATTGAAAGCTTGTCGTGTCGTCCGTTGACCTCTTCGAACCCACCTGCCCACAGGCTCTGATGACCTGGTTGTAGCCAACTGTGCTAGGAATGACCTGGCGACCACTCGTCTTCGCAGTCGTTCAATTGAGATTCGAACCGAACCCAACAGTTCGTAGAGAACAAAGTTCTCGCCGCCACTGAAGCAGGCAAAAACAAGTATATATATATATAACTATATATATAATCCAATGAGCTGGAGGCCAACAGCTTTGTATGATCCGTCACGATCCATGCAATGTACATCCCCGGAGGCGAATCATCCCAAGTTAGCGTTACAGGACCAAGTGAGGCTTTGCTTCATTTTATGTGAAGGAGGAAAAGCAAGGAAACCACCATATCTGTCTCAGGACTTGGACTTCTGAGTCGATTATCCCAAGCACAACCAATGCATGTGCATCCCTAAACTGAGCGGAACTCTGGCTCATGCCTTATCCTCTCCAACCCAAGTCTCACCCACTCCAACCTCCACAAGCTCCAGTGCCTTCTGCCACTCTGAAGCAGAGCTCAAGGAGCTCAGCACCTGACTCAGACCTCATTCAGGCCGATATCGGTGGATCAGAGATCGATCGATCGAATGGACGGCATCCTACACTAGCTGAATCCGTAAAATACCTGGTGGTTGTCCAATATTATTGTTTATTGAAACGGCCATTCTTCGCGAAAAAAACATTAACATTCGCGAAACTTTCGCGAACCCTGTGTTTTTCTTTCGCGGGGGTTCACCATGTCATGAAACCATTTAACCTGGTAGGGACTCGATTTCTAAATACAGTTTGTGGGGTTGCTATGGGCTACGGGGTTCCTCTGGAGCCGATTCATTCGCCGAAACCTTCGCCAGACTTTCGCGAAACTTTCGCGAAATAATCCCTGTGCTTTGGAGGTTTTTACGGCATACATAACATAGGGTGGACTACATGAAACAGGAAGGAAGCTTCACACGGATTCCAAAGTTGAAGCTGCTGACGGTCAGAAAAGGATGTGGTTATGCATGGGGCAAGCCTGAAGGCTCACCAAAGAACATACAATAAAAATTCATACTTTCGCGAATCTTTCGCGAAAAAAACATTAACATTCGCGAACTCGAAAAAAAACTTTCGCGAGACCCACGATCATGTCATCCAAGGCTCTCGACATTAAAAACCCTTACAAGGACCTTTTGGATAACTCCCAATTCAAGAAGGTGCAATTGTTGAGAGCCAGGAAGCCCTAATTCGACTTCAGGGCTGTCCATGGGCTCTTCTCCGGCACCAAGAAGGCCCAGCCCAAAGCCTGCTTTATTGATGGAAAGAATCCTGCACCATCTGGAACGGCCAAACACCGCAAATCCGCAAATACTGTCACTTCAGTCCAGCCACTGATCTCATCAGCCTTTAATGCTGCCGTCTTCAAATCCTCCAGAAGGCAAAGTGCGACCTCCAAATTCAACACAAAATCAGCTGATGAAACAAGTGGTGGGAGATTGCACTTAGAGTCTCAGTCTCAGAGCACATAAAGTTGGACTGGAAACGCTCGTGTGAAATCAGAGTTTGGTGGATGAAATCCCGAATTACAATGTCCTACAAACCTGATTGGCAAAGAAGAGGCTTCAAACATGTGAAGTTCAATGGCCAGGGGTTCCCGCCAGGGGTTCCAACTCATGCTCTTAAGAAATCAAACGCGGGCCTCCCATGAAACATAGGCCATGGCTGTGTTGAAGCTGACCAAGGTGGGATTAATGGCCTCATCATGCTCAACACACCCTGCGCAGATCCTCCTGACCAATTGGGAGGCACCCAAAAGCCTGAGGATCATTTCAATCTGAGAAAGGCACGACACGTCCTCTGACTTCAACGTACAGCTTTACTATGCTTTACTGCATGCGTCTCAGTGGTATCACCAATGCTCAACCTCTAGAATCTGTTTCTTTCCAAACTCCGCCTTGGCACCCCAGGCAAAATATTCGGGTGAACACCCCGACACCCAGAGCACAACCCATCATTCCATGTGGCTGAGATTGTCATCTGCCGCATCAGCTCCAGAACCAGTTCCCAAAAGGAGGCGGATCCTGGAAGAACAAAGCCTTGGATGATACTCTACCTGGCTGGTGTTGCCCATTACACAAAAGTATCCAACTTTCAAGAACTCCATTTGTCCTGTGTGGTTGAATATATCTGACACGAAGCAACACTCAAGATCAAGATGCTCAAATCACACCCAGTTACTAAGGTATTGAAAAAGGAGAATTCCAACTAGCTCTGTGGGTCTTGGCTTGGTGGTCACACACAACAAACATTGGGCCCTGGAAACTGTGTGGTGTCCATTCTATCACTAATGATGGTGTAGACTAAACTCGACCAGGCTTTTGAAAGCACGCATCATCACCTCGGCATTGGATAGCTATGCATACATCTTCCTAATTAATGGAAATGAGTAGAATCTTGTCAAATCGTCATAGCTTCAATTCCTTTGCAACATCAAAGCGCCCCTCACACCTTCCTCACGGACCTGTTCAAGGCCGACTACGCGCGCCCCTTTCACAGTTCATCACCACGCCTACGACTTTCATGGCTGCATTGAAGCTCACTGCCTCGCTCCACCTCTTGGAGGTGAGCCACCTCCATCGGCTGGTCCAAGGCACAAAGGATGGAAGGCAAGGGAATAGAAATCCTCCTTAAAGGTGCCTTACCTCTGTTTATTCACGTCGATCCTTAAGGAGGGCCAGGGCCTTCTTCTAACTAGTAAGATGCGTATGGGACCCAAGGGTGCTAGTGAATACCAGTTACTAGCGGTCTTGGGCGGCTCCAGTCAGCTCCACTCACTTGAAGGGTCATCCAAACGCGCCGCGCGCAAAACGGTCAGGAAGCAATATGAAGTGGATCGCCCTGTGTGATTTCCCCCAACAGCTTGTTTGGATGGTTGATGCAAGTCAAAGTGTCTCCTTCTCTGAACTTCTAGCATGTTTTCACGATGCTGGGTTTCCAGTTGGAAGAGCGCCAGGAGCTGATGACATACCTCATGATTTGGATTCTGGAGGCTATGATAGCTAGGATGATCGTTGCAGTTTGCAGCGTTTTCACAAGAGCTGCATTAGTGGAGCCATCCCATATGTTGAGCCCAGCTGTATTGGCGTAAAGGTCGAGATTTTGCCGCCGGAGCGGGTGGGAAGCTTGAACCGTGGAAGCTGCTTGTACATTATGTCTGCACAGTTGGGGTCAAAAGAAAAGCTCTTTTGAGATTCTTTATATAGTGTTGTTCTTGTTGGTATTAGTCTTTCAGTGATTGTGAGGGTCTCGACTTTGATCGACTTTCAGAAACAACTCCCTAGCGTGGCCTCAAGGATTCTATAGCCTTTGGCCAGACACAGCCAGCATAGGTGCCAATCAAGGTGTTTATGCAAACGCAGTCTGGCACAATCCTCAGCTTCATGAGTCTCCCTGCCGTGATCAAGTGCTTTTGGGTCAGAACACTCCAAACTGCAACAAAATAACTAAGGCTGGAGGAGAAGTCCGCCAACGGGCAGTTTTAGAAAGTGTCTAATATAAGATTCCTTTCGAAACAACTCTGTGCAGGAGCAGACAACATTCCTAGCAAACAACATCCACAAGCCAACCTGACGTGGATGTCCAAGGGGCTGCAGGTGCTCCATCTTTGGCCTCGGTGTGCGGTTCAGCTTCACCGCCTCAACCACAACCCCGAACCCCCGTGCTGGTTCCGCCAGGCTACAGTACTTGCATGGCAGCTTCCCATTCTGCACCTGTCAAAGCAGCAACAGATGTACAGTAATCTCTTGGCTTGCAGCATGGGTGTGCAAACTTGCAGCGTGCACTGGCAAAAGATGCATGGGTTGCAACTGTTCTTTGAAGCCGCTCATGTACATGTCCATGGCTGGCAGTGCTCTGTTGGATTCGGCAAAAGCAAACGTCCCAGCCTTCACCGCAAGCGGAGATCCCCGAGCTAAAGGACATTACATCCCCAGGCAAACGTGCCTGCGGTCAAGATCGAACGAACGAGTCTGCGGGTCTGTTGTTGGCATCAAAGAAGAAATCTGTGAAGTGAAAGAAATGACGAGCGGTGTTACGAGGAATGGCGGTCATCGATTTCACACGTAGTGTCCCTCTTCAATCCTTCATAATCCTTCACTAATGAAAATCTGGCACCGATCCAAGCTCAAAGGCCATCTTCGTTCAAGTATGGCTTGAAAACGGATTCCGACAAATCCGTTCCGCAACGGGGGACTTGAACACGCGGTCCCTCATAGGGCATCTCAAAAAAAGAAGCATTGGGAGGTCCTAGTAGCGTCCTTGCTCCTAGTAGCGATGCCAGGAGCCCCTAGTAGCTTCTTGTTCCTAGAGTCCTAGATGCTTGGGAGGTGATAGCGGGTGAAAGACATGAAACATCGCCGTGGATTCCGATCCATGTCGTCACTGTCACCTGCGCCATCTCTTCCAGCAAGTAGCCTGCTTCGACCCATCGACCCCTCTCACATGCACCTTGGTACGGTTCTTTGCAACTTGCTGAAAAAGAAGAGAAACAAAGAGAGAGAGAGAGAGAAAGAAAAAAAATCCACACAAATCAAAGCTCAAAGTCAGAATAAATATGCGAAGCGGGCATTCTTCAGCATGGATTCATTGGGCCTTTTCAGGTTGGTCATGACTTCCACTTATATTTGCTATTCGGAACAAGAAGCTACTAGGGGCTCCTGGCATCGCTACTAGGAGCAAGGACGCTACTAGGGGGCTCCTGGGTACTACTAGGAGCAAGAAGCTACTAGTAACATTGCAAAAAGTGGAAGGGACTGTCATTTGCTGTGAAGCAGCCAATTGCTGCACCAAAGCTCCGAATGTCCGCTTCAACCTTCAAACTCGGCATGTCGACATGCAACCTTGGTTGCGGAACAGTTGGCGGTATCGCACCCAGAGGCACCACACGGTCCATCTTTATTTCAGTCCTATGTGCTGAAGCTAAAAGGTTTGAGGGTCCGTTCTATCCTGTTTTCTTCATCAAGCTGTTGCTTGTCACTGATAAGTCCCTGGACCCTGTGGCGATAGGACTTGAATTGCAAGTGGCCAAAGCCCCACCAAGAAATCTCAACAATGCATGTTCGCAAAAGAAGGAGGCTTCTGTGTCATCAAATTCAAGACAAATTGATCCGAGCATGGAAGGCCAAAGCCCTACCAAATGCTTGTGTCATATCGATATCATCCATATAATTTATAGTATCATTAGATATATTAGATTTCGATAGATGGTTCCACGCACTCATCACGACACTATTTTGGCAGGCTACGCTGACAAGCAGAGCTGCCACGCTGATGGCTGAGCGCGTGCAGCTGAAAAGCTGAGGCCTCAGGAAGAGTCCAAGAATTCTGAGTGGTGTAATTAGTAGGGTGGTAGGGTATCAGCACCCGGAAGTGGCCTACAAAGGATCTCTTTCACAATCCACTAGTGTTCAGCACTTAGGCTTGAAAAGCTGGCTTGCATGGATAACTCTTGTTTGGACTGGCCAACACTACTGAAGCACGCCCCGCATGGTCTGAGTGGCAAAAGCTCAATGACTGCAGCTGGAGGTGGTTTCGAGCTGCTCTTTGCAGGAGATAAGTGGCAGCTTGCCACTTCGAACGGCAGGCACTAAGTACACCTCAGCTAGCATCAGCAGTCTCTCGAAAATGCTGTGGATTCTCTCACAAATTATGGCGTGCTCAATTATGCCTCTGTCAACTGTGTCTGCTACGAGTCTGTGAACCCCAGGTGTCACCTTCACAAGAGAGAGGAAATGGCTTCCTGCGGTGGCAACGCCTCCAACAACCCGATCATATCTGCCGGAGAGCTGTTGTAGTGGATGACCTCATGCTGCAAAAATCAAATCAAATGTCATCACTTTGACATCTGCCTCTCGTGTCGAGATGGCCCACGAAATGAGTGGCCTGCTGTAGTGACAAGAGACAGAGATTCGGGCAGGTAGTTTCCAAGAAAGACAACAAAGCAGCTTCTATTTGGTGAAAGGCTGCCTTCTCGTCCCTCACCTCTTTACGGCGTCTCTAGGAAAACCAAACGAGGTGAGCCTTCCTTTCAGGCCCTTCAGCAAAGGTACATCGGTCTGCACCTGAGAGGCTTCCATGCCCTTCAGCACTTCTAAGCAAGTGGTCGGCAGCGACTGGCGGCCCAAGCCACTTAAAACCTCAGGCTTCAAGGCTTTAAACAAGGATTCGTTCGCAGTCAGAGAATCGATCGGAGTACAAGGAGTCGTAGGACTGTCCTGGTCCTAGGGGTGGTTGCTCACAATGAGTCCTTGGTACAGCCTTGGATGATCCCGATAGACTCCAGTCAAATACTTTGGGGTCGTTTGTGTTCCAGTGGAATACAGCAATTTGCAGATCCGTTGTGTATGCAGTGTTCTTTTCCAGAAAATGAAGAGAAGGAATGGTGGCAGTTGCATGGAGATACTATTGAGGTCGACAGAGTTCTGGAAAACAAAACACGTGTGCAAAACAAATTGATGCTTAGAGCCACACGGATGCAAGCTGAGTTGCATGACCCTACAGAAAAAGGCACCTCAAGCGTTAGTCCCTCTGTCAGAACCCGATTGTCCTTTGTCTGCCAAGAGACAGCAGTGGCCAGTTGTGGGCACGGGCGCCAGTCCTCCACTCTGATCACCGGATCTGCCGCATTTCGTCGTCGGTTGAGAGGTCGGACAGAGGCCGTTTGGCGTCAATCAGCCCTCCAACCTAACACCCCCGATAACCTTAGGACTCGCCGCCTGGCAACGTTTTTCCACAAGAGCCTTAACCTTAGGGGAGCAAGGACGATGTCGATTCACGCGTTTTTGAGCAAGTTCGGGGAGTTTCCCCAAGGCTGTTGCAGACTCAGCTCCATGACCATAAGAACGAATCGGCTTGTGTTGTGACAACAGGGGCTTCAACCTTGGATCATCACTTTAATGTGGTATAGCAATTTCCGGCAGAGCTCGCATGACTGTCAATTTATTGTTCCCAAGACCTAAAACTATACCAACCCTCTCTGCGCAAATAACTGGCTTTAAGAACATGTCCAAAACATGTTACGCAAGCAAACGATCTACAAGCTAGTGAAGATTGTGAAGTGCTCCCCATCAACAGTATATAATTGTCCTGGACCACCAATTTCAGGATGCTGCGCACATCATCGCTGTTGGGGTTTGGACCTGGGTTGTGGAGGCCAGGCGTCTAAGTCTGTGGGTGAGGTGATCTGACCAACTCTGGATCCTGCAATCATCAAAATAGGAACCAAAAAGATTCAAACAATTTAGAGGTGCCACATTCTGCGTGCCAACCGGCGAAGCATATGTGTAATTCATGTCTTTGCATACTGCAAGCGCTGACGCACTCTTAGAGCTGACGCGGGTCACTGGGAAAGGAATACTGTGTATGTGTGTGTGTGTGTGTCACACCCTGGTTCCAAGGGTTTACCCATCGCCAAGCAGGGGGGGAGTGAGTCTCACTCCATCCACTGCCCAACGAAGACGGTGGTTTGAGACTGTGACATTCGGAGAGGACGCTCTCTGAACGTACCTGCTGAGGTCTTTCACAAGCTGTCACCCTACTTTTCCATTTTTTGATTCATGGTCCTTCATGATACTCCCCCCAAACTTCGGTTTTGCAGCTGATTTGAGCCGTTCGTTCACCACCGCCGATGTGCAGCTGAGTCAAGTGAAACAATCGATGTTAAAACACCTACAAGTTATCGGACCCTTTCACCTTGCGGTTCTTCGCCTTCCTTCTCAACGTGGCAATTGAGTAACTGAAAACCCAAGTTCGAAGTGTGGACCGCTCAGTCTTCCCACTCGGGTACTGGGTGTGGTCCTCCGAAAGGAGGCGCTGAATTCATACTGGAAATCACCGACCCTTCTTTTTCATTACTGACCCACGGTCTCAATTTTCCCTGAATTTTCTGACTTTCGAGCCGCCGGGCTATAAACGATGGAAGAGCAATCCCACGTTTCCTGATCTTGCAACCTTGCAGTGTCATGTTTTATCTGTTTCTCACCCGCAGCCGTTTTACCGCTGATCACTCACGCACGTCCATTTCCACGAAACCATTTTACATGCTGAGTTCCCAATTTAATTTGTCCTTCACCACGAGACCATCTTGCATGCTGAGTTCCCAATTTAATTTTTCCACGTTTCACGATCTCAGTTTTCGGATTACTGGCGGCTGAGGCCTTAGTCAACCTCTACGCCCAAAAAGGGCATGACCTGCAAGCGTGCAGGCGGTTTTTGAGAAGAAAAGAAGCCCTGTCTTTCTCCACCGCTCGTTCTGTGCGCCGATCACGGCGTGTTGTGTGTGTCACACCCTGGTTCCAAGGGTTTACCCATCGCCAAGCAGGGGGGCAGTGAGTCTCACTCCATCCACTGCCCAACGAAGACGGTGGTTTGAGACTGTGACATTCGGAGAGGACGCTCTCTGAACGTACCTGCTGAGGTCTTTCACAAGCTGTCACCCTACTTTTCCATTTTTTGATTCATGGTCCTTCATGATACTCCCCCAAAACTTCGGTTTTGCAGCTGATTTGAGCCGTTCGTTCACCACCGCCGATGTGCAGCTGAGTCAAGTGAAACAATCGATGTTAAAACACCTACAAGTTATCAGACCCTTTCACCTTGCGGTTCTTCGCCTTCCTTCTCAACGTGGCAATTGAGTAACTGTGAAAAACAAGGTGAAAACACCAAGTTCAGGAACCCGTGCGCTCGAAGTCACTGGGTGAACATGAAGGGGGGAAAGCGTGCAACGCAAAATGCTTCTTTTGACGTGGCCTCATGTGGTGACTCAAGGGCCCTGTTTCGGGCGAGTTCGAACCAAGTGCCAAGCGGTGGAAGCAAATGCCAAGGTTTGTGGCACAAAACTAACACCGGTGGTGCTCTGCAGCAAACAAAAGTCTCATCACGGACGAATGCTACCAGCACATTTCAAATATGGAATCATCAGGTCCCACCCGAGGAACCCGGCTGTGGTCGCCGCGACGTAGGCGTCACCCGGGAGACACAGAAACTGCACACCAACCATTCCTTCACATCATGTGACTGTTGTAGTGCGCTGCATGTTGACTCCAGGTGATAGCACGTGCCTGTTCTTGTTGTGAATGCTCTTTGTGGGATGCCCCCGATGTGATTCGGGATGTAAGCTGCATGCTGTGCCACTTCTGCCAGCGATGTTTCCAGCTCACGGATCATCCGTTGTTGCTCATCTAACCTTTCTTCCATGTAGTCGTCTCGGTGGTCTCTCATCTCAATCTCTTCCTTGAGCTGTTGACATCTGGTCTCCAACAACTCCTTTTCATACCTCACTTGGTCCATGGCTTCATTTCCTCTTTTGATGAACTCTTTGTACTGCGCAATCCTTGCCTCATATCGATCTGCACTCTCTTGTCTTCTCGGAAATGCAAGGAGTGGTGGTTCCTCAGTCTGTGCTTCAGCCTCGGTCGTCAAAGGTGGTGGTGGTAGGTCACGATGCTGTCGCCAACATGCTTGCAACCAACCAATGATCTGAAAAAGACCAATGCACAACAATGTAACCATCACCAACAATGCAAAATCCCAACCAATCGCATCCTGCTCTTCGTTCTGTGCCATTGTTGGCTTGGACTCATTTGCAATGATCATCATGGTCAGACTTTTCTTCACGCTAATTGCATTCCTTCTTGCATTGTCTTTCCTTTCCTGCACTGTCTTGCGCTTTGCTGCTTGAAAAGTGCTGTCAGCTGAAAGCGAAATCTGGTGTGACCTCAAACGATCTGCCAACAACTGCCTTGCCTGTATCTTTGTGAGCCCGTCGGACAGCTGAACCTCCGATGACACCCACCTTAGCTGAGAGTCCAGGTCCTTCATCTTTTGTTTCACAATCATGCACTCGATTTGTGTGCGTTTGTCACCGCTAATCTGTGGAACTTCAGCTTTCACAGCATCGTACAATGCCTTTGCATCAATGATCACTGCATTGGGGAGGAAAGAGTCGCTGCTGCGCTGATTGTCTTTGACATGTTCCAAACTGAAATCTGCTTTGTGACATGCCTGCCAAAAGATGTGGACATACTCAAGGGTGTCAACTGCTGCTGAACAAGATTGTGCTTCAGCGTTCAAAGAACTGCGGGATACACGGGGCAACTTGAACGAACGCCAATCCAACACAACATATGGATGGTCAGGTTCTCCCTCGAGCACCTTGCGATGTGCAAGCAAAATGAAAAATCCACCTTGGCTCAAGTGATCTGTCCTGACACCCCATGCCGCATCAGAAACCGCCAACAAACACAACTCCTGTAGAGGGCCTAGACGTTGAAAAATCAAACCAACATCTGCATTGCTCTTGCTGAACCGGAGTGCTTTGTTTGCTGCATCTGAAACTGATTGGCTTGCACCGCTAACATTGCCGCAAAGAATCGAAATGCTTGCTGACAAATGGGGTGCTGTTTGTGTTGCTGCCCACTGCAAAGCTCCTAGAAGACCTCTCAACGAACTAACTTCATTGGACCTGAGCTCATCGTCATGCTTCTTGGAGGTGGTGGACATGGGTTTGATCTTCTTCAAATACTCCTCCTGCTGAATCTTCCATGCCCCATTGCCGAGCTGTGTCAACTTGTTGCCACAAAACTCGAGCTCACCTTTGTCCTCCGTGGTCCAATGTTTGAAGTTGAATTCCTTTTGCAAAGCCTCTCTTGCTCTGATGTACTCTGGGTCATTCTCATCACCTGCCCCGATCATGTCGTCAACGTGGAGCCCAATCAATGAAACCAGTCGGCCTTGTGCATTGTGGAGTCTATAAAGACAATGATCCAATGCATGAACCGTATAGCCGACACTGCAAAGTCGTCTCTTTGCAACCTGAAACCATGCCCTGGGAGCATCGGCTTGTCCGTAAAGTGGCTTCAGCAGTTTCATATGGGTACCTGGTGGACAACCCATCAGGCGGCAAGCATCTGCTGGAATGCGACACCAAAGGAGACGGGACTGTTTGTCTCCTTGAAGGAATGCCGTACTGACATCTGCAGTGAACTTGCTCCAGCCTTCGTTGACGGAGATGGCCAAAAGAACCTGTCGACTGATTCGGGACAATGTAGGGCTGCTGGTCTCTAGTGCTCCTCGAAGAAGGTCTGGGTCTGAAAAACCTTGAAGGACCAGTCTTGCCTTTGCTTTTGGGTTCCCTGATGCATCTGTGACCCACTTGAGCACGAAGCGAGCTCTCATCACTCTCCCATGGTCAATCTTCTCTGGGTTTGTTTCGATCTCCCATACTCCATTTTCAAAGATGCTGGACAGTTCTGACTTCTTGCCCTGAACGAATGCCAACCTGTCCTCTAATGACATCTTGCCTTCACGGAGATCGTCTCGAGCCCTTCTCGTGCGGGAAACTCCCACAGCTGCCCAGATGTGTCCTCTGCCCCGTAGGGTCCACTTTCCTTTTGTTTTGTTGACCATGTCACCGGCATAGGGCATCCTGCGGTGTGCTGCTGCTTCTTGCTTCAAAGGAAACAATGTCTTACCAAACCAAGGGCGGCTTCCGACCATATAGGACTCTGAGGCATTCACATAGATCTTACGTTGACCTTGAATCATCGTGAGTCCTTCAGTTGCCTGGAGCTCTGAGGAATCAATGTCAGCTGGAAGTGGTGCCTCTGAGAGATGGAACGTGTTCTCACGTGCCCAACAGTGATGCCGGACTAAGAAGCCATCCTCATAGCCCCAAAAGTCTGTGGTCGGTCCCAAGGTGAACTCCTGAGTCTTCTCATCATATGTCCACCCTTCTGCCAAGTCGCTGAGGCTTGTACAGATGTGCTTGTCATCAACTGCCGAAAGAAGCTCGACTTGAAAGGCTTCTTCACCCGGTTCCTCAGTTCTTGACTTCTTGTCCTGATGTCTTGTGCTGCCGCTGTCTGGTGTTGGTGGCCTGTGGCTGCCTGGAATGCCCAAGGGGAGAGGATCATCTGATCCCCTTGCCGTGCTGTGTGGTGCTGTGTCCTGTACTGCCGGTTTCTTCATCCATAGTGTCTCCTGCTTGTTGAGTCGTGCTCTCTTCTGCTCAAATGTTTCTGCCTTGGGAGTGCGGAACAACGGATCAATTTCAACATCCGGTTCTGGCTCAGTCGGTGCCAGTGATGGTGGAATGTGCACTGGTGACAGCAAGTCGTCATCCTCCGGAACTGGCGGAAGCGGCGGTGGCTCCATTGGTTGTTCCGGTATTTCATCATCCATGGGAACTGGTGGAAGACTGTCTGGGTCAGGAAGGTCTTGGTGTCCTGGAAACTGCCTCCAGAGTGCTGCATTGTGATGTGTCCGGTCAATCTCAAGCTGGCTGACTGGAGTTGTGTCCTGCGCTGGTTCATGGTCATGGACCGGTGGTGCTACAGCCATAGTTGGGGTCACCTCTGTCGGTGGAGAGGTAGCTGTCGCTGGGGTGCTGACTGGTCCATTGTTTTGCCTAAGCGCAGGATCCAAGAGCTCCTCATCGTCCTCCTCCGGGTCCAACTCATCCAGCGACCGCTTGTTGACCTGCGTGAGATCCAAGACTCGGACAACTCTCCTCTGGCGTAGGTTTTCCAGCGACTCCTTCACCTTCTGCTCGGCATTCTTCTGCCCTTCCTCCTTTGGCAGTCGTCTGACATGTTGCCGACCTGCTCGTAGGAGTGACGTTCCATGAGCCAACCAGTAGGTCACGATCGTGCCATTGTCGGGATCCTTCTCGACAGCGAGGACCGTGGCAGGCCCTCTCCACTGGATGGTGTGTTGTCGGTCCGGCGACTCCCTCCAGTACAGGCATCGTTCACCTGGTTGAAGCTCTTCATCTCGACCCGAGAACTTTCGAAGCATGGCACGCCTCAACTTGACATCGATCTCGGCCTTTGCACAGGCTGCTTGGGCTTCAAACTTCAATTGTAGTTTCCTGTGCAAGCGCTCTTGCTCACCCATCTGCAGCTGGTTGATGGTCGTTCTTTCATCTGACAACAAGCCTGGGAGGTTTAGCTGTCTGCCCAATGCTAGCTGCGTAGGAGTGAACCCATTGACGAAGGTGTGGTCATTCAATGATGGAACAATCCAGCAAAGAGCGTCATGAAGGCCTGGAAGGTCTTTGAGATCGTGCTCCTTCATGAAGACTTGGAGACTCTTCCTCAACAACTGGTGTCGTCGTTCAACCAAACTGGTTCGTGTGTGGGACTGGCCTGGACTGATGCGCATGTCAATGCCATGCTCTTCTGCCCACCTCATAGTGCTGTCTGAGGCAAATGCTGGGTGTTCATCCACATAGAGCCTAGTTGGTGGTCCATGAAGTCGGATCCAGCTTCTCTCCAAGGCCTTCTGAAGAGTCAGACCTTGTTCATCACTCACTGTCCTGGCCATCGTGTAGCGGGTTGCCTCATCAATCATGACCAAAATGCCAATCTTCTTGGCCTTGTGCTTCTTGTCGGTGAAGTCCTCAAGAGAGTTGAGGTCCAACCACATGACATCTGCCTGGACGTGTACATTGAACTCACGCGCACGATCAAGATGGGCTGGTGCTGAACCTTTCTTGATGGCAAAGCTGTTGCAGTATGGGCACTCAAGGTCACGAATGGCGGCCAGAACCTTCTCATCAACTGGCTTGTTCTTCAAGAGTTCAAGCAAAACTTCAGTCCTTGGGTGGCCTAAGTTGCGGTGAAGTCGATACGCAACTCGCACGGCTTCAGCACCGTGCTTGGTGCCCAGCTTCCGAAGAACTCCTGTGAGCTGTTCTTCTTGGCCCACTGCATAGACCTGTTCTGACAGATCTTCATCAGCCATGGCGGCCTCGGCCAAACATCTGGCCAGCATTTCTGGATAGTCTTCTGCAGCTTTGCATCGATGACCTCCTTCCAAAGCTTGGTGATCATGGTCTCCGCTGCATCGGCGTGACATGTGCCACACCATTGCTTGCTTCGTTGTCTGAAGTGTTGTTGCCTTCTTGATGGGGAGCCACTCACCTTCATCTGTCCATGAGACTGCACCATATGCGCATTGATCGAAGGTCACGCGCATGCCAGGAAGCTGAAAAGCTGAAGTCTTCCATGCTTTGGAATGAGCGGGATGCTCAATATGGCCACGTCGACCGTTTCTGGCCTGTCCCAAGTAAATCTTCCGACAGAACTTGAGGTGAATCTCGTGGTCCAACCATCTCCTCTCTTGCAGCTCACGCACGTCTTCCTCCGTTCGAAGGTTGATGTTCTGCATCGTGGACCACAATGTACACTTGGGCGACATGAAAACTTCATCTGGCTCTTCCTCCTCCTGCAGCCTCAACAAAGCCTTGCGGTGTGCTTTGGTGAAGTCCCAACCATCTGCTAAGCCAAATCTTCGAACCTCAGCACCTCTCTTCTGACACTCTTCCGTGAAGCGTCCTCGACCGGCATAGATCTCCCACACGATCTTCTTCCTGTGAGCTCCTGGCCGGGCTTCGTTCATCATCTGCTTTTGCTTCTTCTTGAGATCCTGGAGCTGCATTTCGCAACACGTGAAAAGACGTTCAAGACTTTCCACGGTCTTCTCAACTCCTTCCACCCTTATCGCATGCTCGGCCTCCTCCGCCAAGCCTTCGATCTCTGTCTTCATCTCCTCAAAGCGTCCTTCGGCTCTCATGTCCTTCAGGAAGTCGTCAAAGCTCTCAACCTGTCCATGGTCATCTTCACTCCTCAGGTCGAAAGTCGGGTTGTCCAGCTGTGAGGCATCCAACAACTGACTGCACAGGGAAAGAAGCATGCTTCCCTGCTTGCCACGCTCAATGTCCCTCCAAGCACCTCCCATGATCTTCATGCGGCCTCCTCCAAAGTCAACAACTGCCTGCAAACGCTCCAAAATGGGTCGTCCAAGCAACATGGGAGTTGCTCCGAAGATGATGAACGCTTGAATGCGTCCGGGCACATTCTCAATGAGCACTGGTAGGGACACCATCCACCTCGCTGAACCTTCTGCATCACCTCCAAACCTGAAAAGCTTGTCACATCTTTTGAACTCGAGCTGGTCCAGGTTGAAGCCTTTGAACTGCAGCCATCGAACGTACCTCAACAGGTACTCTGTGCCCAAAAGGAAACTGCTGGCCCCTTGGTCCTGGATCGCGATGTCAGGCTTCTCTGTCAACCATCCGCCGGCTCTCACCAGCTGTTCTCCTTGGGCGTAGGCCTCCTCGACCTCCTTGAACTCATCATCCGAATCCTCTGCTGGCTCGACTGTCAATGCCATGCCGGCCAACAACGGATCTCCATCTTCTAAGACCCTTTTCTTGGCTGGTGAAGTCGCCTTGCTGTGACAATTGGCGGCCAAATGACCAACTTTGCCACACCTCAAGCACGTCCGGGTCTCCTTCATGGACTGCATGGCATCCTTTGCACGAGCCTTGCCGGTAGGGCCTTTTCCGCTGGTCGAGGATGAAGACTTTCCGGACTTTCCTTTCTTTCCTTTTCCTTTCTTGCCTCCTCCAAATGAGGGTGAAGAAGGTGGCATAGATGAAGACGAAGAACCAACAACTGGCATCTGTCTCTGGTCAACCATTGCAACAACTGGATAGAAGCCCCTGCTCTGTCGAAGCTGCTGCATGCGGTTCTTTGCGTCTGTGTATGCTGCAAACACTTCATCAAATTCTTCTGTGTCGAACAGGGATGCTTCATCTGTGCTTGCTGCATCAAAGAATGCTGTCTCTTCATCGTCCTGCCAGTATGTGTCATTCGGACTGTAGTCGTCTTCAAGCCAGGTCTCAGTATCATCTTCAGCTTCATAGTAGGCTTGATCCCAGTCCTCAACGTCCTCTGACTCCTCAGTCACTGCATGAACAAGTCGGTGGTTCTTCCATCGTCCCTGCTGTAACGGAATCCGCCGTTGAGCGACATGGGCATGACGGTGATCCTGTCCAAACAGCAAATACAATGCAGGCTCGACTGTACTCAATGTCAACTTTGTCCCAACATGCGTCTGCACCATCACTTGTTGCTCTCTTGTCAATGCGGCACGTCTCAACATGAGCCAACCACTGACCTCAGGAGGGAGGTCAATCTTGAACTTGAGCAGCTCACGAAGTGCCTGGTTGAAATCAGTGCAAAACTCTAGTAGGGACTGTCCAGGTTTGCGCATCACCTTGAAGAAAAATCTGTCAAAAGCTTCAGGCATCTCGACTTTCTCATCGTACTGCCATTGAGCATCTAATCGTTTCAGCAGGAGCGACAGTCCATCTTCCTTTTCCAGATCAGAGATCTCCAGATCTTCACACTGTCGCCATGATGCTCCCTCTAAAACCGAGAGAATGTTCAGGGCAGTCTCCTTTTCTTGACCCTGCAGCTTTTGTCGGTGAGCGTACAACTGGACACGCTTTCGCCATTCCTTGTAGCCAACTGTCGTGTTGTCAAACCTCGGGATATAGAACTTGTCAGCTACGGAATCCGGTTGCTTCGAACTCGAAGCGTCAGGCATGGCTATCGCGGGCGCCCGGAGCCGTACTTTGACGGCTCCGCTACCAATGTGAAAAACAAGGTGAAAACACCAAGTTCAGGAACCCGTGCGCTCGAAGTCACTGGGTGAACATGAAGGGGGGAAAGCGTGCAACGCAAAACGCTTCTTTTGACGTGGCCTCATGTGGTGACTCAAGGGCCCTGTTTCGGGCGAGTTCGAACCAAGTGCCAAGCGGTGGAAGCAAATGCCAAGGTTTGTGGCACAAAACTAACAGTAACTGAAAACCCAAGTTCGAAGTGTGAGATTGCCGTTGTTACCTCCCAATCTTCTACAACAGATCCGGGAAGCTCGTCACAAGTTCAACCCCGGACATATTGGACCAAGTCCCTGGCCCAACTTGCTCAAAGCACCCAACTTGCTGCGATCCAATCCTGCACTGATGTGAGTTAGCTCTTCCGGGGAGAACACTCCACTCCACTCCCACCATCAGTACCAGGGATTCAGCAATACCTGGTAGAATGCCAGTAAACAAACGAGAACACCCACCCATCAATACCATTGACGACTCTCCTGTGTCGACGACTCTGTTGAACTATCCTGTCCTGAGTCTGACCTCATCGAGCTACCAAGCAGTCATCCTTCAGCAGCCACCATGGGACACTCTCGGCATCAAGCCAAAGGGGCTATAGGACCCAGACATGGTGTAGTTCCAATGTGGAACTCAGAGTAGGCAGATCAGGAACAAACAAGCCATTTGGCAATAGCCACCGTCCGGTCTCCAGGAAAGCTGTTGGGATTCCCTCCCACACTCACAACAAATCAAGAGGTTCGTGTGAAGGCATGAAAATGGGGTTGGTGGGACCAGGGCGTTGGCTCGTTCTATATCACTTTATGTAATGTGATTTAAAAAAAAAAAAAGAAATGTATAAATTAATGTGATGTGATATAATATAATGCAACATAATATATATATATATATATACACACATTGCCTTTACAAGGATGCAAAGAGTCTTTCATGGAACCCAAAGTGTTTCCTGTGCAAAAGCAGATTCGGAGTACGTAAAAACCAAGGAATCTCCAGTGCTCAAAGCTAAGCTTGGTTCTCAACAGCCAGACAAGGCTAGACTCCCCCACCTATTTCCCAAAAATCATCAAAAAATGTGAAACGGACTCATTGCCTTTGACATCCAACTACCTCTTATATAAGCACATCACTATGCCAATCACCAGTGAGGGATCAAAAATCTTTGAGGCCCGAGAAACACCAGCAACATCCTCAGGTTAAATGTGACTCACGTGACTCTCCCAACGCAAAAGTGCCTCAAGTATGGCTCGGGCCAAACCCAGACCACTGCCGGGTTCCAGGAGGTGACCACCACCTGGTCAAAAGGCCAGTCTCAAGAGCCTCTCTTGTAGCGTCTTCGCATTCGGACTCAAAGTCGGAGAAAGAGTCTACAAAGAAAAGTCTACAAAATGCCGACCATTCAGTGAATGGAGCGAATGCGGACATGCACTGAATTCCCCGGACAACAAGTTGTTCATACGCGAGCCTTCTCAGCACACAATCTATCATGTCAATGCCAAAGCGGACATTTGGCGAGTTCCAGTCTTGTCGAGCAATCATTCAAGAACAAAGCGCTGCCTCAACTGGGCGTCCCGACCCAAAGCCGCAAATCACACTTCTTTTGGGCGACGAGAAGAGGGCGCTCAATATACCTGCAAGGTGGTCGGAGCATTTTGACGGGTGAAGACTCTTAGTTTGAGGTCAACCTTTGCGAAGTTGCGTCCCAGTTCGGCATTCATTCATTCCGAATTCAATGTTTAGCCACCAAGAGAAACAACACATTAAAGACACGATGCACGAGCAAGGTATAGTATCGGCTAGGATTCTAGGATACCCTTCCAAGCATGTTGCCTACGATCTACCAAGTGTACCCAAGAAGAGGGTCTCAGGCTTAGGAACCCTGTTGAACGACCGCCTTGCGCTTCCATCCAAAATGTGACGCAAGAATAAGTCCTTTGGGGGACCTTAGCTCGTCCTCCATGTCTTGTGGGGAGTTCGTTTGCACGTGTTCTACATTGTCAGCCAAGGAGCTTCTGCACAATGACGTGCCAGTCAGCCAGTTCCGCCTGAAGCCAAGCTCAAAGGTCTTGGGACCACTTTCATGGCGAGCGTCGCAAAGGTGTCTCCCTAGCTTGGGAAAACGGCTCTAAAACACGACCTGTTGATTCATGATTTCTGACCACTGCGAAACTCTGCAGGCTAAACTGAAACGTCCGCACGTGGAGACAGTCTCAAGAAGTTCAATACCTCACTCACGGACTCTGCCTCCTGAAGCAAGGGGAGGAGCTCGGAGAAAACCCGGACGCCACGACCACAGTTGAGATTGGGCTCCTCCACAGGGTTGCAAGATGGGGATGCAGTGCATCATGTTCTATCGATCTGTTTTTCCAGAGCATGTTGTCTGTGCTTTATTAGGTCCTTCCAGAGATTCACAACAAGAATGTGTTCGGCCTTCTTACAGTATCCAACATCTGCCAAGCTCACACCACCGTTTGGAACACCTGATGAGGAAATGGCATTTACCCTCTTCATCAAACTCCCCAAAAAAGAGTGGTTTGGTTGCTACCGAATCTAGCCATCATCTGTATGTTTTTGGCACCGTAAAATACCTTGATGATAATGATATCTGTATGTGTGTGCGTGCCCGTCTCCTAAAGTGGGGTGTCTTCCTTAAAATTGTCCAAATGCAAGAAAAAACCGTCCATTTATCAACCTGAAACAAAACCTGCAACCTCATAGAAAAACCCAGCGCTTGAACTACTCAATGCACGGCTTCGGACGATGACGACTGGCACTCCTTCAACACCCAAAAGCCATGAACCCCGTTCAGCGAGGACTGTCGCTGCTCCTGCGGCGATTCTGGTTTTGCACAGAACTGTTGTCAGGAGATGGGTGAAACATGGCTGAGCAAGTGCCTCGCTACTAGGAACAAGTGCATCGCTACTAGTAGCAAGTGCCTTACTAGTAGTAACAAGAAGCTATTAGTAACAATTTAAGCACGGAACAAACTCGCTTCAGCGCCAGCCCTTCCGGAGTCCCGCCTGCTGTTGCAAGTGGTCGCGCCTCATGATGTGATCCCTGTGGAAAAATTGATGTACAAAATGAGATAAGCTGAAATATGAGTTTTCAGTACAAGCTAGTCCCATTGCGGAGTTGTTTTTCCACTGCAAGTTTATTGTGTCCCGAAAGAAATTCAAACAACGATGGGGAAAATGCTCTCCTCTGGCTGATTGCTGAACAAGGCACCACCACCGTGCTTCCAGCACAACCGCAGAAAGAATCAAGCCCTCCTGAAGACATCCAGGATTGAAATCAAAAGCCCTTGCTCCAGAAGTGTCATATTCTTTCCCTGGGATGTTAATAACACTTTCACATATTCCACTGCTCTGTCGCTGACAAAATGTGGAAGCACTTTGTTGAGCACCATTTCGGCTCACTCCGGTTCCTCCTGTTCCTTTTCGGCCATCAGGCGAAGCAGCAAAGCCTGACACAATCAAAGGGAACGGATGCAGCGATGAAGGGTCTATGGTCAACAGTCTACATGCCATTGACCTTTTTGCGTCACACTACACCCTTGCCCTACTTCCTACTCAGCCGAGTTCCGCGCTTGCGCTTCGGCACTGGTGGAACCTGCTGGACAGAGAAGCTCGGGCAAACTTAGACTATCTGAGTGACAGTTTGCGAGCCGAAAGAGCACAGCGTGGCAAATGAGGACTCTCCACAATGTCCGCGCAAATCACTTTAGTGAGCTTACCACTTCTTCTTTGCCTCCTACCTTTGCTTCCAATTTGGTCTGTGTTCTACACAGCGGGTCCAGTGGCCACGATTAGAGCATTTGTGACAGTGGAGTAAAGCCAGGCGACTGTCCCCCTCTCATGCATCGACTCAGTTTTTGTGTTTGAACCTGAAGTGGGAAATTCTCCCGTGTGCCGCCCAAAAGCGCCTGACCGTAGAACCCACCTCGGTCAAAAGGATCCACAATGTATTGGAAAGGCCTTCCTGATCAATGCCCTGAACTTAATGCTGTCAGTAGGAGATGAAGAGCAATCAAACGCGCATCCGAGCAACAAAACTTCATCCTGCTGCGTCCCAATATACCAAACAATTTCCAAAGAACAAGTTCGCAAGAATGTCTTCATCAAAGTTAAGTCCCGTTCAGCTCAACTGTCACAGAAGCAAATTTGGCATGAACACATAGTAGCTCATAAGTCGACATGACCAAAAAAATCAACAACATTGCATAAACAATCAAGAGAATAAATATGACGGACTACTTCTGTGGTTCAAAAAGCGATACCTGGATTAACATTCAAGAAGAGCTTGGCAACGTTTCACTGCCCCACAAAGTACAGCAGTAAGCCACTGATGTGACTTAACATCAGATCAATCAGCACTTTTTGAGCGCCAGGCTCATCTTCATGCGTGAAACCCAGACCCTCCTGCGCCGCAATACAGGTTGCATGCGTCGGAGTGTGCGGTTTGAGCGGTTCAGTGGTAGCTCTGATTGCTTTCCACATATCGCATCAACTGCTGAGGTGTCTATTTTTCCCGAATGCGTAGCGAAGGGTTCCCGTTTATAGTTGGGGGTCTGGGGGTTGGAGCTGTGTTTGCATGGCTTGCGTCGTGTCGTCGTCTGTCATCGTCTGTCGTCGTCTCTCGTCGTCTCTCGTCGTCTCTCGTCGTCGTCGCGTCTCAAATTTGCTGCCATTGGGGGAAGCTTTTGCAAGTGACTTTGCATGGATGTGTCACGTGTCAGTTTGCGCCGCTATTCCATTGTGATTTGCGTGACACGGACATGTCGCGCAAGAAATGTGATGCACTTCGCTGCACAGGCGCAGCGTTTTGTGAGATCCGCAGATTACGGCGCAGTTCCATTGGGATTAGCGTTTGGAGAGTCGTGTTTTTGGGTGTTGGATGTGGCCGTGCCATTGGGATTTGCGTTTCAGGGTGTGGCATCGAAGCTTTGTTTTCGTGACAAGTCTCAGCTGAAATGGCGATTTTGATGGATGGGAGTGTGCTCTGAACGGGTCGAAATCATTCCAAACGTGTGGTGTGGTGCAAATTTTGTTGAAGCTCACATGCGATGATATTGTCACTTTTCGTGGCAGGCGCAGGACTTCGTGCGGGATTTGAAGCGTGGAAGTGCAATTCTCGTGGCAGGCGCAGGGAATCGTGAGGTTGCGAGGTGTGAGGGAGGTGACATTTCGTGGCAGGCGCAGTACTTTGTGCGCGTTAGACGTGTGGATGGGGAAAGATTCGTGGCAGGCGCAGGGAATCGTGAGGTTGTGAGTTGTGGTAGAGGTGAATGTCGCTGTCCCATTGGGATCGGCGTGTGAGCGGATGTTGTTTGGAGGGGCTGGAATCGCGAAACTGCTTGGCAGGGCTGCGTGATGTGTGTGCTCCGATGGGTGTTTCCGCTTGACTTTTGGAGGAAGTCTCGTACGAAACGCTCGTTTTGCAGACTTTGACGTGTGAGTTTTTGAGCATCGTAGGCCGAAGAGGGCCAGCGCACGCCATGGCTCGGAGCTACGAGGTGGTCATTCAGTACCACAAAGGACTCTTCAGACACCAGGGCATACTCACAGGCCTCAAGCAGGTAAGAGACTGTGG